CTGGCTTACCATTTCTGTGACAAACAGCTTTATTTTAATAAAGCATGAATGTAAAAAATACTATGCACTGAGCTCAAGCTAAATCCTCAAAAAACCAAAAAGATCTTAAAACAAGTTTTCTTCCTCATTTTTTATTCTTACATGAAGATGGAGCTAACAAAGAATCTTTTTTTATTCTTTCTCTCCCATAGATATACTCAGTGCTTTTTTTGTTAAAAAAAAAAAAAAAAGGTGCCTGAACTCACACGTGTCATACAACCCGCCTTGCCTACCCTACAAGGTTCCATCCAGAAAAGGTGCCAGAACTCTGTTCTGGGCGTTCTGTGACAAAAAAAAGCCCTGGATATACTGTAGATGCAAATAAAGATATATATAATTCCATATACCCTCAGCCATATTACAAGAAAAACAGTCTTTTGTGATCACACTGCAAAGAATCAAAAGCCTGAGCAACCCTCAAATTACTTATCCATTGAAGAACTGAGGTGCAAAGATATCCAAGCATTTTAGGCATGCTCATTAGGCAGGAAGGACTGTGAGAGCAGGCACACGCAGTATGACTGCCTTTCAAAGAATTTGAAAGTAATCCTCTGGAGGGCTTAAGTTTGAATCTAGCATAAAGGTTCCACACATGCACAGCATTCCTAATTTGCTAGATGTTTTAAAGGATAGAAGTATTGCTTCTTTCTGCCCCTTTCCCATCTCTTTTTAAACATTCCTTAAAAAGGAAAATTGGGTGTGACGCTTCCAAAAGTGGGCTGTTTGCGCATATTTTGAGAAGAAGCAGGCTATTTATTAAGCATGTATAAATATTGCTGTCTTCCTTCCAGGAATCATGACTGGTCTGGAGCCTCCCCTACCTACCTCCAGAAGTTTCCTTCAAGGGAGAATAGCTGGAGCAACAGCAGTGTTTTTAAGAGAGGTAAAGAGGCTGGCTGGGGAATTCTGGGAGTTGAAATCCTCACATCTTAAAGTAGCGGAGGTTGAAAAACACTGCTATAAACAAAGATCAAATGCCCATAGCTTTTACTGGTATTAACATGCTGTTGTGTGGCAAGGGCTTATCAATGACTGAAGGGACAAGTGTTATGAAATGTATTAAATCATAATAGCAGGTATAAGTCACAAATGTCCTTTTTGAAGAGGCCTGTTGACAGACCAGAAAATGCCAAAAGAAAAGCACTAAAGATGAAAGCTGTGATGAGAAGTTTTAAGTGGTTAGTCTTCCTAAGCTGAAGAGATAATTAAGAGGTGATCTGGATGTCTAGAAGATTGATTCAGCCTTCCATCCTTCTGAGGTCCATAAAATGAGGACCCAGATTGTTGGGGGCAATATGCTGATATTGTAAACCACCCAGAGTGCTGAAAACACTATGGGATGGGTTATAAGTGTAAGTGCTATTGCTATTTGCTCATGAAATTTGCCCACAAAAGAGGAAAAGGATTCCATAAACTGAGCAAAAGACAAGCTAAGCAAGCAAGTTTCTTATTAAGGGATGAGAAGAGATGACAAAACAGATATAAGTTGGATTATTTCTTGCATTATACTACAGCTACTAAAGACTGACCCCCCAATTCCCTACCTTTTGAAGTGGAAAACATATCTCTGGATTTTGGTGTTACTGATCAGGGCAGGAAAAGAGTTTTATTCTTATAGTTTGAGAAAGAGTTTGTCATAAACCTGAATTACGCTAATATGCGTAAAATGCTTTTAAGATTATTATTACTCTAAAACTGTATTTGGAAACAGCTGATAAGGAGATTTAGTCAAGTGTCATACAGCATTGCAGTTTTAAAAAAATGAACTCAGCAATTTAGTGATTGCAGTAAATGCATGGGCTCCCTTCCAAACCTTGAGGACTGCATCAATTGCATAGTTGAAAGGCAGGAAGCGCAAATGTATGAGTGCTCAAACATCCACAATGTCTGACACACAGGTTACACACTTTTCTTGAGAACCAGTTGATCTGGGAAGGGTCAGCAGCTGTTTTCTGATGGTAAACAGAAAATGCTAATCCGTGGGCTGGTGAGAAACTCCCAAAGCTCCAGTGTCTGCAATCTTGAGGCAATCATCCCCTTTGCTAAACTAACAGTTAAATCTTATGATGTTTGTGGATGTAGTGGAAGCCAGGATGGTTTGTGCATGTAAACTAGATTTAGTTATATTTCTTTCTCTCTCCCTCCTATATGACTTTATTTTGTACAATTTCTTTCTTTTTCTATAACATTATTTAGCTTCCAAAGTAATAGCTTTATGGCTATGCATGTATAATAAGTTATATATAACCAGGGCTTTTTTTCTCATAGAACGCCCAGAACGGAGTTCCGGCACCTTTTTTGGATGGAACCTTGTAGGGTAGGCAAGGCGGGTTGTATGACATGTGTGAGTTCCGGCACCTTTTCTTTTTAGAAAAAAAGCACTGTATATAACTAAGGTGACCAACTTTTTTACAATGAGAAGGAGGACACAAATAAATTGAAGAAAAAAAAGTGAGTCTAATGCGCGCGTGTGTGCCGTGTTGTGTTTCGGTAAGAAGTAAACAAAGCCACTTGCGCGCGGCGCACTTTGCGTGCGGCACACTCTCAAAATAATTCTCCTGCGCGGAGCGCATGCGTCTCATAATCACATCTTGCCGCACTGTACCGAGCTTTGACGAATCATCATGTCAAATACAAATATGTCACATCACACACAACGGATCGGATCAGCATCGATCGAATACGGAGATTTACAGATTAGTCTTCAAATATTGAAAAGGAGGACATGTAGGAGGACACTTTTCGAGAGAGGACAGAACTTACAAAAGAAGGACTGTCCTCCCTAAAGGAGGATGATTGGTCACCTTAATATAACTGAATACTTGGGAATTGATTAATCTATTGCAAGTTTACAAAGGGAATGGAGGAAAAAAATAACTTAGAATCTGAAACAAAATTAAAGTTCAAATCTATTTTGGGGGTGGGGGGATTAGATATGCCATGAATTACATGCCATATACAAAGAAAATACTGCATTTGGGTAGAAAACAATCAAAGGAAAAGCAAATTAAACTTTCAGAGTGAAGTAGAGGGCACTGTCAATGTTAAATAGAACAAAACAAGAATGGAATTGTGAAAAAAGTTTACACTTTTACATTAAAGACAAAATGTGAAATATGCCAAAAAAGAGATTAGTATTTTGCAAATGAAGTAATTTATGAAATCTAGTAGTACTGGAACAGCCACCAAATTTTTAGACCTTGAGTTAATAGCTTCACTAGGTTCTTTTTACTTAATCATGTGTATTATTTCAATTGTGAAATACCCAATTAACATAATTCTCCCCTTTCCTTGCCAATCCATGTTTTATAACCAAACCAAAACACCTACTTCTCATCAGTGATGAAAAAAATCCTAGGCATATTGTTTCTCATTTTAAAATCCCTTTAATTATGGCACCATTATCACTAGAAAAAAAAGGGGGGATTGCTTCTGCTGCTCTGACCCTAAATACATTTATATTGTTTTGTGGAAAAGGATAATAGATTCATAAGCAAAATTAATAAAATGAGCACCTGCTATCTTATGTGCCTGGCTACCTCCTAACTCTATTTTTTTTAAAAAAAATATCAGAGAGGGTGGTGGGCAAAGCACATCCCTCATCAGTCGGTATGCACAGCCCAGCAGTTTACATCTTTCATGGCCATTTTTCTGATCTGTGTCCAGTGCTTGGTTCTATAGTTCACATTTCATTGTGCAGTTTCCCATTGCATTGTGTAAGTGCAGTCAAATTTACTACTACTATTACATCTAACATACATAGAATAGAGCAATTTGTATATTATGCACTGTGTTGGAAAATTCAGGCTCAGAGACCTGGTAATCTAAACATGTTGTTCACCAGCAAAAATAATTTTCAGGCTGACTATCCTTAGGGAAAGTGAAGAAGCGGCTTAGAATGGCAGATGTCAGAAGCACAGCTCATTTAATCATGGTAATACCCATAATAAAATACACAGAAGGAGTCTGAATAGTTTGTTTTATAAAAAGACAAATTTCTAAAACATGAGAAAGGAGCAGCAGCAGATTCTGGATTCTTCATTTGTATAATGTAGCCGCCTTTTTTTTACTCTATCCAAAGTTAAGGAAGCCCACACTGCTTAATTTATGTCCAATAGAAATATTAATGCACTGACTGAATGGCAAATAGAAAATTCACTGGAAATTATAAAGGCCTGACCTAAATCAGCTTTATTGTTCTAATCTAAACTCTTCTGAGAAAAAAAAATGTATGTATTTTAGTTTTAAAAGAAAGGTGTTGATTCTGGCAGTTCATTTTCCATTTTCTCAGCACCTCAAGAGTGATTTGTTATCACACTACAGTATAAATTATTAACACTCTAAAAGGAACACCTTCATGAGCATATTTTATATAGAAACTCATTCTCTCAAAATATTTCAGCCGGATGCCATCTTCTAATCTGTTAAACTCTCCTCTTACCGAATGCAAATATAATGTACATTTTTCATTTGAGGTTGTTTAAAAATTCTGTAAATTTAATGTTACCTTTCCTTTAAAAGAAAAACCCCAAAATTTATTCAATAATATATTTTTGATAAGTCCGTGTCCTTCAACACACACAAAGCAATTAAAAGGATAAAGTGAAAGTTTTTAGTTGTCTAGAGTTTTGCAACCCTGATAATGTACAACCTTTTTTAGTACTCAAAGTTAAGATGTTCTGCTTAAATATGTGCCGATTTCCATTCAGTTAAGAAAATAAGGTTCCATCCAATAATCTGAAAACATGAATTTCCTGATCAGTAGTTTTAGAAACTGTTTTAAAACCACATTGCATGGTGGGAATACAAAAAATCTTCTCACTAATGAATCGAGCAGCGCCATTTTGACCTCTCCGCTCAGCAAAACTACATTTCCCAGCATGCTCAGGACAAGGGCTGGCGCCATCTTGCCGCCTTCCTTGCCCAATTGCTGGAGGCGGCAACGGAAGTCATCGTTCTGGAGGTTTTCTCGGCCCGCCGTGATGGCTCTTTTTCCTGCTTTTGCCGATGCTGCTAATGCCGGAGATGTACAAGCAAGCGAAGGCTCGAAAAGAGGTAATGACGTTGCTCTTATTTATGTGCCTCAGTAACAAGCGGACTAAGAAGCCCCTCTTTGTTGAAACCATATTTTGGTTTTCCTTTCGGACGTTTGTTTCTACAGATGCCCTTTGCAGAGACGCAGCGTTCTCCGAGCCGAGGTCTTCCAAATGGATGGAAATACAACTCCCAGAATTCCTCCCCGCTGGCGTCAGGTGCCACGCGACCGGCCCTAAAGACCCTCAACATCAGGGTTGCGAATACCTCGCGAGATTATATATACGGAACCCCAAACGTTTTTTTAAGACTTTGGTAAGTAACCATCATATCGACGTATAACTGTATAACATCCCGGAACGACGACGTAGTCGGGTTTCAATGTTAATTGACCTGGACAATTGTTCGACTCCGTAAACGGGCAGATACTCTTGCCCTGTTATGGTGACAGAAGAAATCTGGCAAAACAGAAAACATGCAATGGGCACTTTATATTCCACAGACTTTTGGTTAGTCTTATAAAAGGGTCACATGGTGAGAATTCTGAAAAATCCAGATGGCCAATTTCCCCATACTTTTGGATTCAGAGAGGTCTTTTTTGAGAAGTGGCTGCACTGCTGCTTCCAGAATAGAATAGGAATAGGAATAGGATTCTTTATTAGAAAAGAATAGAGCTGGAAGGGACCTTGAAGGTCTTCTAGTCCAGCCCCCAGCTCAAGCAGGAGAATCTATACCATCTCAGACAAGTGACTGCCCAGTCTCTTCTTAAAAACCTCCAGTGAGGGAGTGCCCACGATTTCTGAAGGCAAGCTGTTCTACTGGTTAATTGTCCTCACTGTTAGGAAGTTTCTCCTTAATTCCAGGTTGCTTCTCTCTTTGATCAGTTTCCAACCATTGTTTCTTGTCCTGCCCTCTGGTGCTTTGGAGAATAATTTGACTCCTTCTTCTTTGTGGTAGCCTCTCAAATACTGGAATACTGCTGTCAGGTCGCCCCTGTTTCTTCTTTTCTTTAGACTAGCCAAACTCAAGTCCTGCAGCCGTTCTTCATATGTTTTAGTCTCCAGACCTTTGATCATCTTAATTGCTCTTCTCTGAACTTTTTCCAAGGTCTCAACATCTTTTTTGTAGTATGGTGACCAAAATTGGCTGCAGGTGTCTCGCTAGGGTTTTATAAAGCGGTACTAATACTTCGTGTAATCTTGATTGTATGCCTCTGTTTATACAACCCAGGATTGTATTAGCTTTTTTGGCTGCTGCTGCACATTGCTGGCTCATAGTCAAGTGGTCATCCACTAGGACTCCAAGGTCCCTCTCACAGTGACTGTTTTTGAGCCAGGTGACATCTAATCTGTACTTATATTTTTGATTTTTCCTGCCTAAATGTAAAACTTTGCTTTTCTCCACATTAAAACTCATTTTGTTGGATAGGGCTCATTGTTCAAGTTTGTCAAGATCTTTTTGAATCCTGAGCTTGTCTTCTGGGTTGTTGGCTATTTCTGCCAGTGTCATCTGCAAATTTAATGAGTTCCCCTTCTATTCCTTCATCTAAGTCATTGATATTGAAGAGTACTGGGCCTAAGACAGAGCCTTGTGGTACCCCACTGTTTACTTCTCTCCATGTGGATGTAGTACCATTGAGGACTACTCGTTGAGTACGGTTTGTCTCACAGCTACAAATCCATCTGGTGGTGATGTTGTCTATTCCACCGTTTTCTAGTTTACCAAGCAGTAGATTGTGGTCTACTTTGTCGAATGCCTTATTGAAATCTAAGGTATACTATGTCCACAGCATTTCACTGGTCTACTAATTTGGTCACTTTATCAAAGAATGAAATTAGATTGGTTTGGCATGATCTGTTTTTAACAAACCCATGCTGGCTACCAGTTATAACTTTGTTTATTGGTCAAGTGTAATTGGACACACAAGGAATTTGTCTCCGGTGCATAAGCTCTTAGAGTACATAAAAGCAATAAGTGATAAATCATGATCATAGTCATTGTAAAAATACAATCATCATAAATCATAAGATACAACACTTAGTGATAGTCATAGAAGCAATCAACACAATCATACTAGGATACTAAATAAAACTATATAAATCGTAAGATACAAGCAACAAAGTTATATTCCTAAGTAGATAAGGAGATAGATAATAGGAAAGATGAGAAAAATAATAGTAATACAGCCTTACTAAATAGTTTGACATTGTTGTGGGAATTAATTGTTTAGCAGAGTGATGGCATGGGGAAAAAACTCTCCTTGTGTCTAGTTGTTCTGGTGTGCAATATATATCGTCATTTTGAGGGTATAAATTGAAACAGTTTATGTCCAGGATGTGAGAGGTCTGTAGATAGTTTCACAGCCCTCTTTTTGGTTCATGCAGTATACAGGTCCTCAGTGAAAGGCAGGTTGGTAGCAATTGTCTTTTCTACAGTTCTAATTATCTGTTGAAGTCTGTGTCTATCTTGTTTGGTTGCAGTGCCAAACCAGACAGTTATAGAGGTGCAGATAACAGACTCAATAATTTTTCTGAAGAACTGTATCACAGGCTCCTTGGGTAGTTTGAGCCTTCTTAGTTGGCGCAGAAGGAACATTCTTTGTTGTGCTTTTTGATGACTTTTTTGATGTTAGGTGTCTATTTTAAGTCTTGAGATATTATAGAACTTAGAAATTTGAAGGTCTCTACTGTTGATACTGTGTTGTCTAGTATAGTAAGAGGTGGTAATATAGGAGGATTTCTGCTAAAATCTACTATCATTTTTACAGTTTTGAGTGTGTTTAGTTCAAGATTGTTCCGGCCGCACCACAAGGCTAGTTGTTCAACCTCCCATCTGTATGCAGATTCATCGTTGTCTCGCATGAGACCAATCACTCTTGTATCATCTGCAAACTTCAGTACTTTAACAGAGGGATCTTTTGAGATACAGTCATTGG